CGTCGACCCACTGAACTATACTGGGGGGTGTCCGCGTGACATCCACAGAGTTCCTCATACCAGGTTGGTCCATGGGTAGAGGTCTGGCCCTCCAGGTTGGGAGTTGGAACATGTATGGCGACATATTCCGTAAAAATGTTAATGTACTTGCATTTCCAGCCCAAAACCGCTGCCTTGCGGTTAGGCTTTTCAGCCAGAGGCTTTGGTTGAGGACCGTAATCGTCCTCCTGTCTAGGTGTGAGCGCCTTGGTAGTATCCCAGCCCTCGTACAATGGTTGGGTTGTACGGCGGTGAAGCATCAGTGCCAACACTGATGTTGCTGTCTTTGATGATGATGATGATGATCTACCTCAGGCAGTCTCATCCGCTGCTGTCTTTGATGATGATGATGATGATCTACCTCAGGCAGTAGTGTCTCATACGCCTTATCTTCTCACTTCACCAACAGATACATTTTACGTAATCGCACTCCAGCTGTCTTTGACGTCAACACTGAGTGTTCAACCGGTAAGTTATTCGAACTCATATGTGCTACTTCCACCTTCATCTTTCCGGTTTGTTACAGGACCTGGATTTATATGTGGAATTACGGTTTACTTTCTAACAATCGAACAATCCGATTAGTTCGGGCAACTGAATCTACCTCGTGAATGGGGCCCCAGTCAGCATAGGATCCAAACGATAAAATTTTGATATTTTCAAGATATTTGGGGACTTTTAATGGAGATTTCGTGCTGTAAGTTAACGTGCTTTAGACGGAGCTATGATAATGAATTCACATTCGCTCATAATAGGTGCGACAATGAAGAGGTGTCAGTGGGTCTTTACTTGGGAAGATTGTGATGGGAGCTTTGCATTGAAGGAAATAGCCTGGATGCACGGGCGCCCTTGAGGGCACGAATGGGCCACCTGACAATGTCTCTAACCATCGACGTGTCCTGTCTCGGTGTCCCGATCCAGGGAGACGTCAGTGACCGGCGCATCTGAGTTTGCTGGTAATCCCTTCCATACTTTGCTGCCAAGTCATTGTTTGACCATCCGAGGAAGTCGGTTGACTGCCGTACGTGGCAGCACGTAGCCAAGCCAGCACAACCTATGGAGTATGGTCAGTTCGTTTATCGTGAACGAGCTATCTCTTCCGAAAACCACTCGACCTACGAATTACTGATCCGTTGTTCCAACGAGACCCTGGTAATGCTCCGAAGACAGCAATACACACAATCCGTTTGACGTCCTCGGCTCGTAGCGGCCGGGTCTCGGGCCCGCAGTGAACAAGAGACATTGGCTCTTTTACAGCGGCTGGACGTACACAAAACTCCGACACCAGATGCTCCGCATCAACTCACTCTTTTCCATCTCGCAACACTATCGACAGCACCTCTGGATGCATTTTCCAGATTTACCGAGTGGAAGATGGCAACGATCAAATCAACTCACAAATGTCTTGAGTTGTTGGTACAGTGCCCAGAGCTTTATGTAGAGCACGGTGAACCACTACTGCTGAAATCGGAAGCGATAGGCAACGTGGTGCACTTACGGGACTACGTAGATCACGTATTTCGTGCATTCGATGAGAGCATATTTTGACTCTGGGTGACCCTAGGCTCCTGGACATTAGCAATCCTAGAACGATATAGGAATCATATCATATAGGGATCTATGTAATGTTGACACTAAATAATCTCCGGTCATTTTACCTAATGGCATCACGTTGGCATCAGCACTTCCTAAGTAAGTTAAGGTTTATCGGTAGTTTATCACTGGAGATGCGTCAAGCGAGTGGTTCGCAATAGAATCGTGTGTAACCGTGTTCTGAGGACGAATATTCTCTTGCAGATCGCTCAGCCGCCATTCTAACAAGGGACTATAGCACACACCAATGCTGCCATGTTGTTGCTCCATGTTGACCTGCAGGACGCTTGTGTGCGGCTGGTTGTCCTCACATACGGCCATTTTGACCTCGCCTTGTTTGACAGATGGATTCCTCCTGACGGGTCATGCAGATAAAATCCAGTGGAACTAAGAGTACGTACTTGCAAGTGCGTGAGGTGAATCACGACAAGAATCACACCTGAGTATTTCACCCCATTTTCGGTCCACCCGCCTGAGCTATTTATGCAAGTTCCTTTTACTGTGGAATAAAGGCTGTTTTGACAAGCATGTTTCGCAGTCAAGGCAGCATGCATACGAGAAGCAGCAGCAGAGACTCAGCATACCCGTTGGCATTTATAATTGCTTAATTATGGGCAACGCGGACTGCTCGATGTGGCAGGCTGAGTATTCACCAGAGACCACTGAAACGTTGTGGATGCAGTGCGAACTAGCAACAGACAATGCCACAATTAATTTGCAAAAATAGCTAGCAACCTAACACAGGAAGTTGGATTGAGAAACCGAGTATTGATAGATGACTCGTTTATTTGACTCCACTTTTCAATTGAAACCCTCTATCGGTTTTACAATCCGGATCGATTACGTGGGTTTTTAGTGGATCATAGTGGATTATAGTACATTTAGGTGAATTTTGAAAGCACTGCTCGCCGACAGTCACCTGTAGTTCGAAACCGGTAAAACCAGAATATCCTTTGTGGAAGACGATCGCAGAACTCCAGTCAGCCTTGAAAGTGCTTACGTATGTCAACATAATACTGTGGGCTGGCTTCGGTGACTATAGTACAAAGTGGTGGTCAGTTTCGCGCTCGACCGTTAGGTTCCCATGAAGGGTAATCTTGAAGGTGATATTGAGATCAACGCCGGTAGCTCATACTTTACGGATGTTGATACCTCGACTGGTGGCGAAACATTTGCGACCAAACCACTCAGCCCAGCTGACAGACGAAATACCACTAGCATGAAATATTAGGTTGCTAACTGACACATGGATGGTCTGAAAACGAACGCACTGAATTATACGTTTGAGTTTACACTATTGCATGAACCATAGGCCTGTAATCAACATTTCATCTTCAGATGCCTGATTTCTGCTCCCGTCTGGAAAATCTGTACACATACTGTTTCCGAAATGAAGACGTCAAAAAAGAATTATGCGGCTGTTTTATGAAAATTGGAGACTCGAAATGGACAAGGTTCATTGGCACCTCTGCAGGAATGGATCTAATGAAGTGAAGTTTGCAAAACCGACTAGAGTGGCTATTTATATTGCTCGTTGCTTAACTTGGGTTTCAGTGTGCGAGCCTTTTTGAAACAGTAAGCTCTACCGAATGTGAGCTATCACATACTTTCTCCCTTTGCGCGAACACTATCAGAATGGATTCATTACTCTGTTTGAGTAAACCCTCAGGTGCCCATTTTGGATGGATCGAGATGTTCTTGTGGCATGACTTCGCGCCAGATGGCATCACCGCACGTGCCGTTAGAAGGTAGTGTATTGGTCCAAGGCACCCTGAAATCCACCATCCATTTTAATTTGGACCACTACCATTTTTTCAAGGCAACGTTTTCCTGGTCATCCAGTATGCACGAGATTTAGGCGAAATGTGGATTGCATAATTTTGACTGATCAGGTTTGAGTTGATTTTGAACAAAGAGTGAAAGGGCTCAAGCGTTTTTCTATCGGAATTTCCGTGAAACGTCGTCACTTTAGGTAAATCTTCTCAGTGCGTCTAGTCTCCACAACGGTAAGCGATTTGATGTAACCCAGTTGACTAATCGAATTGTTTTTATACCATGCGAACAAAAGGCAGATTTTACAGTCGTTTGTGGATTGTCAGCTTCGCTTCCGAAGTTATCTGACTTCCTTGTCTCTGATGATTAGAACTACACTGGCGGGGTGTTTTTTATCGTGGATGGTTTTGGCCTTCCTCGGTTACTTTGCTGTCTGGATGGTTTATCCTATCACTACTAACTTTGTCGTTTTTCGACGTTAGTTCTTTCTAACCTCGGAGCCCAAAGGTTCCCTTGTGGGTCTCCCTATTTTTTTGTAACCTTATGCATACCTTTGTCGATATACCCTTGTAATCTGCTCCCTAGATCCTCACTTGAACGCAACCCCGACTCCAAACAGTGCTGACTCCGTTTCGACTGATGAGAATCTCCCCGCACTAATTGAGTACGTTTTCAATCCATTATTACCCGCCGTGTGTAACGGATGTACTTCCGATTTTGTTGTTTGACCGGTCATGCCAATATGGTCCACTGCAAACACTAAACTACCAACATACTTTCCCTATCACATTGGGGAAAATATGCTTGGTTTACTTTAATCCTTGTGTTCACGGAAGTGCTGTATTCAGTAGAATCGAAACTAGTTGAATGTGCGTTATTTTCGGCACCCATTCTATCGCAGCTTAGCCAATTATTTCACCTTGTGGCTACACATCAATGTGTACCTCCGTTCAGTACTGTTGGCTCCGAAGGGGAAACTAGAACTTGCTCGCTAGCTTCTGTTTCTTATTATTTGGTTAGGTGACCTCCACATGCAAGCTAGCCAAGCTTCTGAAAAAATGAACTAATACCATCTATAGTAGGCTTGTTGGCCCATCCGGTGTGGCGAGGTAGCCGGGAGTGACAATGCATTGAATTGGATTGTAAATGAGTGTATATTGCCAGCTGCGCGCAATTTGCGCTCAATCAGAACGTGAGTTTGACGGTTAATTTGGGACCGTGCTTACTTGAGAATGCACAAGAAGTGCGGAACCGTTTGTGGGATGTCAAGAGGTTTTCAACGACGTGACTAGCGTCCCGTCGAGAACATATACTACGATGTCATGAGTATTGTACCAAGTCTCTGCATTTTCACCCTTGTGTGACGAATAAAGCTGCTGCATATATGGCGTATTTTAACACACACTACCACCAATGCTGCCACGTTAATTCTGGTTATGTGGCGATACTGGTAGCTTATTTTGAACAAATAAACTCATGTACGGGGGACGTACAAGACAAATGGAGTAGAAATAGGTTGGTTTTCACAGTTTTACAGCAGAAGTTATCTCTGTGTTGCACACATTCTTGTTCCCTTTTAAAGTTTCACCGGTACTGTGCGATCCTGTGCTAAGGTCGTGATCTTAAAGCAAGGAATAGGTTACTTAGCCTAAACGCACGATCTAGGTGTCCTGTCTGACAGGTAACGTGTAGTCCAATTCACCGACGAACGGTCAGTAATAAATGTGGCGAAACCGAATTCTACGAACTTCACCTGCGTTTGTTCAGTAGTCGCAATCGGGCAGTGAACAATATATTGAATTGGACTTGGGCAGACAGTATAGATAGGTAGACCGTGGTTCATTAGGAAATTAGCAGTAAACCGTGAGGAGAACTAAAGAAAGGCTTACGGCTAGATTGAACCTTGGGCAGTTAGCAACACAGGATGGCACACGAAGGGCAGCGTGCTATCGGACAAATTAAGCGGGAAAATTGTTGTTCAGTTCAAAGTGGGACAAAATTTCAACAACAAGTCCAGAAATAAATGTAAACAAATCGTCTATAGAGAACGGTTGAGGTAGAGTCAACTTTGTATAAAGCAGAACGGTTCAGTCTTGAAACTTGAGCAGTTACGGAAGGGTAATGAACTAGCCTGAGGAATAGGGAAACAAATAATTACGTCACGTAATTAGCAGGTACGAAGAAACTTTTTAAATCTCTATTAGTTGATGATTGTTTAGTTTGATTCGAAAGCTTTCATCCTTGGCTTCCCCCAAACTTGGACACGGGCCAACGTCGAGATAGTGCGCCCGTCTAGACGCTATTCATGAACTGATTTGAATACACACCAGATGTCTTATTGTTCCCGTCCAACCCATTGTGCTTATTCTGTCAGAGAAACCCAATGGCAACGCCACGGCTTGTTAGAATTTTCATTACAGTAGCGGAGATTGAGAGGTGTGACCAACTCGTATCAACAATAGAACATTGCTTTAACCAATGTGCTACCGTAACTGGAGTAATGTAATGTAACTAGAGTAATGTAATAATTCAGGCTGCCGTTTCTGAAACATGGCTCCCCCCGCTCAATTCGGTCTTCAGCGAATAAGTTCGTCAACTGCAACTACTGTGCGGCTTGTTTGCAGTTTGTAGCTGATGACGGCTATGAAAACAGATTAATCGTTTTCTTTGGCCGACTCATTCTCGGCTTGGTGGAGTTTTTTCGGTGAAAACACATCTGGTGACTTCCAGGCCGATTTTCATCTTTTGGAGTCATATAACTAATAGCTCTTGCCATGGGATAAATCCACCTGAACCTTGGGCAGTTAGCAACACAGGATGGCACACGAAGGGCAGCGTGCTATCGGACAAATTAAGCGGTAAAATTGTTGTTCAGTTCAAAGTGGGACAAAATTTCAACAACAAGTCCAGAAATAAATGTAAACAAATCGTCTATAGAGAACGGTTGAGGTAGAGTCAACTTTGTATAAAGCAGAACGGTTCAGTCTTGAAACTTGAGCAGTTACGGTAGGGTAATGAACTAGCCTGAGGAATAGGGAAACAAATAATTACGTCACGTAATTAGCAGGTACGAAGAAACTTTTTAAATCTCTATTAGTTGATGATTGTTTAGTTTGATTCGAAAGCTTTCATCCTTGGCTTCCCCCAAACTTGGACACGGGCCAACGTCGAGATAGTGCGCCCGTCTAGACGCTATTCATGAACTGATTTGAATACACACCAGATGTCTTATTGTTCCCGTCCAACCCATTGTGCTTATTCTGTCAGAGAAACCCAATGGCAACGCCACGGCTTGTTAGAATTTTCATTACAGTAGCGGAGATTGAGAGGTGTGACCAACTCGTATCAACAATAGAACATTGCTTTAACCAATGTGCTACCGTAACTGGAGTAATGTAATGTAACTAGAGTAATGTAATAATTCAGGCTGCCGTTTCTGAAACATGGCTCCCCCCGCTCAATTCGGTCTTCAGCGAATAAGTTCGTCAACTGCAACTACTGTGCGGCTTGTTTGCAGTTTGTAGCTGATGACGGCTATGAAAACAGATTAATCGTTTTCTTTGGCCGACTCATTCTCGGCTTGGTGGAGTTTTTTCGGTGAAAACACATCTGGTGACTTCCAGGCCGATTTTCATCTTTTGGAGTCATATAACTAATAGCTCTTGCCATGGGATAAATCCACCTTCTCGTAGCTCTGTTCCTTTCATAACTATTGTTTCGCTCATTTATTTTATCTATTTCTGATTCCATTTACGCCTAGTTATCCACTGAAATTTCGTTATGCAAACGAGGCGGGCGAGCCCGTTAACCTTAGACTTTATGCGCACAGAAAGACCTTTGTTCCCGACGATGGTGCTGAGGAGAAACTTGTTGGTTATCGTATTCTGTGCCCGTATGAAGAACTGTTGCTGGCCGGCATCCATTATCGCTTGGATTGGAACGCTCCCAGGTAAGCTCCCGTTTCTGAATCTTCGTGTCTCTTGTATGAAACTCGGCAATACCATCCTCCTACCACATCTAAGTTGGTTAACTGTACGGGTCATGTTAACAGTTGATTCAAATCTTTATCTCCGATTGAGCACCACCATCCCTCATACTGATGCTGTCCGTACGCTCAATTATCTTTATCCCAGCTTGGAAGTGACTGATAAACAATTGACATTCGCCTACTTGTTGGATCCGGATGCGCCTTGCCAATCCACTCTAATAGTTTCCTCTTCTGAAGGATCTCTTCTCCCTCCGGCGAATGCTGTGCCGTCATCCACAGTCACTACGTCAGGAAACGGGAGCTCATCCACTTTCAGTAAACGATCAGCTTCTCCGGTCTCATCTTCCATACCTGTCAAAGTAGCTCTTAGAAAGTCAGTCTCCGCTAGTAAGTTGATGCAAATGGTAGATTATGTCCATTATATGTACTTTTATGTGGGACTTCCCACCTAGTGATCGGTTTTACGGGGTTACTTTTTTCTCCTGTTTCGTAGCCTGTGCTGCTCTTCCCAGTTCACTGTGCTCATCCACTTCACAATCGGCATTAACAGCAAGTTTGACCGTACGATCTCAGCCTAACTCTCCCACCAAAACGAAATCTGCCATGTTTTCACGTTTCGTACACTCTGAGACATCATCTGACGTTGTGGTTCCCGGTGGGTCTTACGAACTTGTCCTGTTAACAGATGTTCGAGAACAGTTTGGGTGAGTTCCACTCAGTATCAGTATCAGTTCAGTGCCCACAGCTAGCAGGTTTAAACTGTTTTTTGAAACCCGCAACAGAATCTTAAAGGAATGGGGGAATTCACTTTACGGCCTGTATCACACAGGTGTCGCGCCGCTGATGTCGCTGCCGCCGTTATCAATTGCTGTCAGCCAGCTGCATGAGCAGCTTTTCACTGCAAATGAATGAATTGTCGTGTGACATTTACGGTTTTGTGATCTGGTGGGCTCTTGTACTTAGTCTTTCACACAAGTCCTGTTGCGGAGACGAAGCCTAACTGAACGGTAGGAAGCGTGCGATTTAAGGCAATATGATCGCCCTTGAACGATGTTTCATCGAAGTCGTCTTAATCATATCAGGGAATGTGTTCGGCTTACTGGAAAGGGTTAGCTTTGTTTTTCAACCACTTGGCTTGTTTTGCTTGTGTTCGTTTATGAACTAGTTTTTTCTACTAAGTCTCACTTACACCCGATAGGCAAGAAACTTTTAATGTCTAGACACTGGTAGTTTCGTGTGGCGACCATAAGTCGTGGATCACAAGGTCCCAGTAAAACGTCGCGTCGTGCAAACATCTGGGAAGGTTAAAGTTCCATTCGATTCAACTTCGTGGAACATTGGTAAGTTAGCATGAATATATTCGTGGTGTCAAAAAGCAATTTAAAACTAGTCAGGAATAAATAACATAAATCACTTGTAAAAATAAACATCAGAAATATTATCACAGATGGATCCTGAAGAATATGCTATCCGTTTAGTGTGTACACTTCGTAAGAAAAATTCTTACCACTGTTTGAGTAAACCATATGGTGGCTACGTTCTGTGCAGGTAAACCACCATCTGCTTTCACCCCAACTGAGAAGGCGTAATAATATTAATAATAATCGTTCAGCTTTTCGGTACGTAGCTGTCATGGTACCCGAACGAAGCACTAAGTCTGGGCTACTACCAGTTTGTTCAAGCCTAGACTAGAACAGTCAAGATGCCAGAGTTGGTTTCAACCACGGATTGAGTAAACCATATGGTGGCTACGTTCTGTGCAGGTAAACCACCATCTGCTTTCACCCCAACTGAGAAGGCGTAATAATATTAATAATAATCGTTCAGCTTTTCGGTACGTAGCTGTCATGGTACCCGAACGAAGCACTAAGTCTGGGCTACTACCAGTTTGTTCAAGCCTAGACTAGAACAGTCAAGATGCCAGAGTTGGTTTGCAACCACGGACCTTTCGGTTAGTAAGTTTGCGTCTTAACCACTGAGCTGCACTGAGCTCCTTAGAAATGTGGTTGTTCCACTTCGCGGAACGACTTTGTCACCTGCAGTTGAACGTATAATCTGTTGATTTTGAGTCACCGGTTTATACCAGATACCGCTTCCCTGTGTAGTTTATAGATTTCCATTGCTGCCATGTACCATTTCTCGAATCAAATTTGTCTACCCGCTTCAAATGCGTCTGATTACCGAGTGGAACTAATGGTCCCTGGCGTGATTCAGTCTTCACTAATTTCTTTTGGCGGCTTCGGACATTAAAATGAGTGCGTAGAGCAGTCAGATAACCGATAGGATAGGCATGCTGCACCCATTCATGGTAGTACTATTCTCAAATTTCTACTCAGTAGAACTGATCAATCCGATCAGAAACGGTCGCTCGGGGATGTCTTACGTTGTACGGGGTATAATATTTCCGTTCAGACTTTGAGTTTTATGTATCTGGTGGCAATCAACCAGCCTCTTTGAAGTTGCCTCCTGTATTATTCGCTGTATTATCACTCATTCTGTTCTAGGCTAAATCGAGTGAAACAACTCCTTCCAGCAGTAATGCATTCGTTGGGAGTCGAGTGTGAATCGCGGGCACTTCCAGTGGGGGACTTTATATGGATCGCCAGATGGCATACGGAATCTGGTAAGATCGGTTTTCATATTGTCTATAACGGAACGTTATGTTCTCGTCTCTCTTCATCGTTGTTGAGTTTGCATAGCGTGGCTTAGTTTAATATTCTATGTAGATTCTTTCGGTGTTAGTCACCACTATGGTTGTGTGCTTTTGCATTGATTCACTTCGGCTTATCACCATTTGCTCGAAAAATGGCGTTTCGACGATATCTGACTCTTGAGTATATCCATAATGTCCTCTATTCAATGAGACTTGCTGATCAAAACCAAAGTGCATCTGAATTATGTCTGTAGGACCTTCTTTGCTCATTACTCTGAAAGTGGTTAGGCATCCGCCAATAATTTTTCTTAAAAGGGCACAGCGAATGCCGTTCGTTCTTCGGATGGACACCACTTTGGATACAGTGATCGTGATGCTTTTGCCGTAACTTAGCAGTGGTTCATGCTTCTGAGGAGCATCTAGTGGTTGAGACCCCGTGTTGGCACTTTTCCATTTGGTGATTTTCACTTTATCCTTCAATTTAGCGCCCATTAGTCCGTCAACCAACCTTAAGGCGACAAACTACATTTTGTTAGGAAACCGCCCAGCACCAACTTCCATCGGTTGGCAGGCAGCACCAAACCTTCGCAGCATTCCTGGAAGGCGTAGAAACTCAACCCGGTGTACATGTAACTCGAGAGATTTGGACTCAGTTGCCGAAATTCACTTTAACTCCTAGGAAGACCACAATACGTATTCCCAATATGCGAGCAGGAAAATCGCCCGGTTCCTGCTTTAGTTTTCTGTTATGCGTTTGTTTATCATTGTATCTATATTTGCTTTTGACATAAATTGATGTTTGTTTGCGTCAACAGGACGCCTCATGGAGGCTGTACTTGATTACGTCATCGAACGAAAACGAGCCGATGATTTGGCCAGCAGTATGGTTGATGGGCGGTTCCAAGAACAAAAGGTGACACTTTAATACCTAATGTAGTGTTTCATTGATGTCGTTTAATGCTCTCACTTTACGCCGATCGCTGCCGTGTTTACTTTTAATCAGACCTTTACCTCAGCTGTTTATTTAAACTTGGTAACTCTTCATAACAGCTCGTAGTGGTGGGGTTCAGGAATTCGCATCCCAATTGCATTTCACCTTCTGGGTACATAGGATGCAAGGCTCTTGGATTTCCTATGGAATCAACCAGCTCAGTCTTCATTTCAGGAGCTTGTAACGACCGTCGAGCAGCGCTCCACCTTTCACAAAATTATTCTCATTTCAAAAGAGGGAACAACCAAATTCTTATTTTTACCTCAACTCGTCTTAAGCACGCTGACTTACCTAACAAAGACCATTCATAATGAGAGCTCCGAATTGTTCTATATGGAAATTCTGGAGGATCTTTCGAAAAAAGCTACAGGCGATATTAATATAGTTGCCTCAACTTCAGATAAAATAATGAACCAAGAAATCGAGAGAGCATTACTATGCCCACTGTCCTCATACAAATCCACGTCGGTCGCCTACAAGTCACTCTCTTAGATGGTCACTACTCTGAAAATAACATCTGAGGAAGATAAGATTCAATGTTTTGATTTTCGTTGGTGCCTTTGGGGACTTCAGTAATATCTGTTTCTGCTTTCTTCGTAAGTAAATTGTATGTCGCTGTGGCTTCACTACTACGTGGTTTGCTCGTTTCAGTACAGTCAGTGCACTTTAGCATACTCGCACTTCTGTGCACTCTTTAAGAAGGCGCACGTCCCATATAGCTATTTAAGCCTCTGAAGCAGCTGCTGAGTTACCTAGTGAAGAAGCTCCATCAGCACAGAATTACTTGTTTACCCCGTCAGCACCGCATATATCGCATCATCGTGGGTGAACTGAATTCGAAATAACCTGGTCTTTGGTTTCAGATGTACAATAGGCCGTCGAATATCCCTCCTCAGAACAGCGTCATAAGAAAAAACAAAGTTGAGTTACCAAGTACTTCTGGATTTAGTTACGTTCTTCTGGCTTGTTATTTTGCTAAACGGCCTACGTTTGTTGTCTCTGTTCACCGTCTACACATTCAAACTGCTACCATCTCACCAACTCTAAAGCAGAGCCAAAGTGCTTGGGCTGTCATTGGTTGATACCGCATGAGGCTCCACTTCTTGTCCCATTTCAGTATCGCATGAAACGAACGCAACTCGCACACACCATCTTCTTGATTGAAGAATGCTCATCAATGCGCAACCAACGTATTCCTTTTGAGACGCTACTTCAAGCTGTTTCCAACGCTCAAGTAAGTCTAGTTCACATAATGCTGGGTTCTAGTCAAAATATGGTGAATTTCCTTTCATTCTCATTTTGGGTCAAGTCAGTTCAATAACTTGTTTATACACCCACGGGGAGCACATAATATTAAACAGCAGAATGTAGCACACTAGACATGTAAGCACGAGATCACGCGCTTCAAGATAACATGAGAACATGTATTTGGAAATCTCACCAAATGGAGTTGACCTTGACCAATAGACCGGCCAACCGTGAGGTCGGAATGTCGTATTGAGATTCACGGGAAAAAGTCGTTCAGATTGATCGTGTATTAAGGGCCCAAATAATTGTAGAAAAGCTAGAATTCAAAGGTCTCTTTCATAAGGTAAAACTTTACGCGGTGAAACCTGCATTTCGAAGTCAGTAGGAGTGGGACAGATGGGCAAAATCTTTCCCTTTGGGTCCAAGAAACCAACCGAAAGTGCCTTACAAGCACAATGGAATGACACAGGAAGTAACGGGTTTCATTGAGTTCAGTCACAATGGAAAGGATTTTTGAGTGAAAATGGTGAAACAAAGATGTCTCGCTTTATGGAGGACAGGTTGAACGTGCTCAGATAATGAAAGCTTCCAGCTTTCAAGCTCAGGTTTTCACAGACATGAATCTGAGTTTGTTCTGGTTACCAGCCTCAAGGCTCTGAAGGGAGCAGCAAAACGTTCGACAAAGGTTTCGGATAAGGGGATGAGTGTGACACTCACACGAATAGGTATGATTAAAATAAAGGATCGCCAGGCCAACGAATCAACCGAACTATTGAGGTTATTCTGATATCGGAAGAAGACTCCGCGTTATAGTGAGAACAACCAGTAATAATAACGATAATAATAATGATGATCATGGTTAGTTGCTTTTCATTGTGGCGGAAACGGGAAGGGAAGTGACTGTATCATGGCAACATTCTGTTCAGGGTACCCAAGATGTTTGGTCAAAGAATGGCAACCTTACCTCACTGAACACCATGCATAATTCGGTTCATTGCGTCATACTGCCTACGGGCCTAGTGACGGTGCACTAGGGAGGGTCAAATTTCCCGCCACTCGCCCCAAAAAAGCCTTATCTAAAGACGAAATGAGAATTATATGTAACCAGGCGGAACCTATTGGTACTTATCCTGGGACGTGGGGTGATTCGGACGGACCTCGTTCATTTTGGTGCTCTTTTGGAGACGTATAAATTAGTCAGGAGAAAGCAGTGGTTAACAATGCTAAATTGGGTGATCGCGTATCAGAACCGAACGTCTAGTTAAGCCGTAGACAGTCACCGTCAGTGGATATCACTGGGTAGGAAACCGCTTGACTGGGTTGCCCAAAGGGTTCCCATGGCAGAGAAAGTAAAAGCCATGTTTCGTTTTCCAACATCGGCGTTCGGAGCTGCCACCGGAAAACTTCCCCCACGTATGCCGCACGCAACTCCCCAGAATGATCTTGATGTACAGCGCGCTCCTACGTCCACTTTCGGTCTTATTAAAGTGCGAAGAACATTCCACTCTTTGCTGGTCATTTTTACAGTCATACACCCTTTGTTGGAAACACCCTTCTTGTACTGACGAGAATTATTCAGGTCCACTAGAAGAGTTTCAACTACGTAACAAGCGTCCACACGGAAGCTGGGATACTCCGGTAATCCCCGAAACAGCGGATAGGGTCAGGTGAAGACCACTTCCGAATTATAGAGCTAGGTGCTGTATGTTGGAATATTAAGGTCGCAATTCACGAAAGACATGTCGAATTAGATGAAGTTGCATGCAGTGATACTTGAAGAACAGTTCATAGGGAAACTAAGAGTGAGCTACGAGAAAGCCAGATAGTAGCAAAAATAAGAGGACCACAGTTTACCTGAGTAACCAGCGACTGATTCTCGGTAACCTGTACTCTCATAGTTGCATCAAGTCTCACCTTCTTTACACCATTCCAGTCGCCATCTCACTGAGTAGTAGCACGGACGCCTACAGAGATATAGAACTCTCGCAATGGAACCAAATTGCTATCGTTACCAGAGTGTAGTGAGTCTTATTGAAGTATGAATGCTCTGACATTTTTAGTCTTCGTGACCCAACAACAACAAAAGATTAACGTTCTTCCCAACTAGCAAAAAAATATTGGGGGATTCAGTATGCCATGGATATTAAGCTTTCTCACCGTAACGCATCAATCTCAACGGCGTCTTGTTTCGTGTCCGCGCTGTCTCAGAAGGGCCTTTTGAACACGGCCCCAACAGTGGCCACATGTGTTTGATCTTGTAACCAAATATCCAGTCTTCGTTGCGAAAAGGATAATTTTGTTTTAGTCGTGCAAGACCAGTTTGATTATCTTTTCTAGTTGCACGAAATACCGCTTTTCAAGTATTTTCGGCTTGCGCAATACCCGTGGCGAATTTCGACCTTGGACGCATTTTGTGATCAGTTTTGCTTTATTACCGTTTCTGTCATCTACTTATCGTTTTTGTGATATCTTCAAGCATTGTCCGTTTCGAGCGCTTCTGCGTTTACTCGTTTGAGGAATGCCGTCGCGTTTTATCACGCAACTTGCCGTGATTCACCTATATCCAACGGCATGCTATTTGTCTTAGCAAAGACCAATAAAATTCATTATTTGCCTTTCACAGTGATTTCGTTAGTTGACAAAGGTTTCTTTGTAATGCACTTATATTTCAAAGGTGCTGGATCGTTCAGGCTCGGAATGTTCTGCTTTCTAACAGGTAATCGACGGTTTCCAAATCATGACGACTCGATGCCCTGAAGACACGGTAGACCTTCTGGCCGCGCTAACAAACGTATTACGGAACAACTGCATAGTAGGTCTCGAAAGTTATTTGTTGATCGATTTGTCCCTGATAGATTGAACTGGCCAACCTACTTGTAAGTACGCCACGGTGTGCACTGACTTCCAGGATGAATTCTATATGATCCTCTCTGTGCTGGGCTGCACACCCATGTCAATAGCCGTGCTGTTTCTTTTCATCCACTTTATCCAAGTGTATTCCTCGCACGTTTGGCAAAGACCAAAGATAACTCCCCATTTCACTTTTCCAGACGAATTTTCTGTTTTTCTTCGAATGATAACCAAGAAGCAGAGGACTCACGCAGTAAGACCTGACGGTAACTGCTGTGTTGAGCCATCGTCCCGGCGTTCAAAACACTCCAAAGACAGCTCAGTGGAACGGTTGGGATAATCCCCTCTAGGAGCCTGTTCCTCCTCGAAACGAACAAATTGTTCAATATCGAAACTGCTAAACTTGGAAACCATACAGGTGCCAACCAGAAAAATGATCTAGAACTCGTTAGCGAAGAATGCTTATTTAAACGGAGATCTTGCCCTGTATATGAAGCTAATCTGTTCTGGAAAACTGAGAAGCAGTGTACAGCTGTTGCATCCTTATTGTGCATTTCCTAAACGTCCAGGGAATGTCGAACTGGCGACCTCCCAGCCACTGATCAGTGGTGTGATCAACTCGCATTTAGACAGGATGTAGCGTCAATCGCGCTTCGATAACGGAATCTGCATAACCTGATCACTGGCTCCTTGGGTGACGGCTTCTCAGATAGAAGTTTCACTTGGGTGAATTTTACGCTTCGACAGGATCGACTGAAAAGTGGTCGCTCAAGGGGACTTGCCGATGTAAGCGTGCGTACGGGAACCGAGTCAACGCTCTTTGACCATAAACATTATGGGTGGGGGGGCTTCCAGTGTTTATGTATCGCGTACTCAATATTCATCCGCAGCTCACTGTAACTGAATGACAGGACGAGAAACTCGCCAAGTACTGAGTTTACCGTGATAGGTTTATGGTCCAGTTCTGAACGTAACTCATTTTCGTAAGAGCATTCTTCCATTCACCACTGAAGGACTAATCCAAACTTCCGTATTTACTCGCAGTAGAGTGAGTTTATCCGATGCTTTAACGTGCGTTTCGCATTTTTTTAAATTTATCCTTAAGCATAACCTACATGTTCGTTCTCCAACCGGGAATCCGGATTCAATGCCACTAAGTCCCAAATTCAATTCTGATTGTCTACGTGCTATCAGCTGGGTCGCCTTCATTCAGTTGGCAAACAAATCACCGCCACCAACCGTTCGCGATGTGTTTGCCAAACAGCTGCTGCAGATCCATGGATTTTCTGGTCCTAAAATATCAGCCATTTTGGACCGATATCCGACGCCTGCATGGTGGGTCATTATTTGGGTGTATATGTTGGTGGGTTCGGTTTTGTTTATCATGTACCACTCCACTTGATATGCACAGGAGCTTAGGACTATACAGCACCACCTCTGCTCCTTACCGCCCACATCCAGCTGGACGTTCTGGCTACCCGTCAGTAGCATGACCGTGACCGCGAGAGTCCTCCGACAAACCATTTGATTATATATATATAT